TTAGCATTTGGCAATTTTTTTTTTATGGAATAGGAGGCAAACGAGCAGACGGATTACCTGATGGTAAGCGATCAGCGCCGCCCATGGACACCCGCAACACCAGAACCACCACCTTTTAAAAAGGAGTACGCTCTTTTTTTGAAGGTTTATAATAGGCTCTCCCCCTTCAACATGGGACTCATAACATAAATAGTGAAAAGTGGGTGTTACATTATGCAGTGGCAAGTCACGTAATTTGCACTTCTGCCTACCCCTTCCGGGATAAAAAGGCGTGATGTTATGTTATGTCATTTCGTTGCGGGTACCAAGGTTATTCATGTGAGGTTGTATCTATTGTAGAACCTGGCTTACAGGAGTTGCAGCGGTTTTTGGAGGTTGTGGCGGGCTGGTCCCATTAAAATAAAAACTACCAAGTGGTAGGCATTAATTTTAACTAGAAATAATTTCATATTGTTAACTGTTATATCGTTATATGAGACATTTTAAAAGAGGATTCATAACATAAATAGTGAAAAGTTGGTGTTACATTGTACAGTGGCATTAAATGCCGTAATATGCACCACTGCCTGCCCCTTCGGGGATTAAGTGATGTTATGTTACATATGTAGATGTTAAAATTATGTTCACAAGAAAGGGCTGCAGCCAATCTATGTTAATGAATTTACTGTCGTATTAAGAGTCTGTTATTTAACAAAGTCCTTACCAATTGTTTTCGGGACGAAATTAGTATTAACTCGTCGAGTACCAGTTTTGTAGACACAATTATAGAACAATAGGTTGCGGTCACCGGTGACCGCTTGGTGTTTGACAGTTTAAGGAATAGTTTAAATAATCATTAATTGTCTTTGAGTATAGTAGTTAGTCCTTTTTTATGATACCCAAGGGACGAGGAAGGGTGATGTCCCGTGAATGTCACTCTGACGTCATCTTACGACTGACTACTGCACGACTTAGGTACCTATTAATTGCACACCGATTGAATTACCTCTAATCAAGGACTTTGACACAGATACGCCATTTTCCCTAAACCTGATTCATTTGAGGCTTGATGGTCAAGCGCATATTGACGCGCATTAGTACAAATCGGAAATTCCTATTCATATATCTGCGCACGAGCATGCAATAGGTAGCATTTGACAATCAACATCACATCACATAATGATTTTTAATCCACGAAAGATAGATAAGCATATCTATGATAAACTAGTTCCTGCTCGCGACTTCGTATGCGCATCAAAAAAATAACAATACAACGAACACATAAAAGAAAGAATTATCCAATTTAGTACTGTCATTGTGAAGTTATGCGCGTACATACATTCCGGGGATTATTTTTACTAATACATATACATACAACTCAATGCCTGCCTCGTTGGCCGAGTGGTCGCGAGTGCGACTGCCGGGCAAGGGGTCTCGGGTTCGATTCCCGGGTCAGGCAAAATATTACTGGGTTTTTTAAAATCTCAGTAGTAGCATTGAGACTGGAAATGTGCCCGGTATATGGCAATAGGCTCGCCTCCTATCACATGGGACTCATAACATAAACAGTGAAAAGTGGGTGTTACATTGCCATTAAGTGCCGTAATGTGCACCTCTGCCTACCCCTTCGGGGATAAAAAGGCGTGGTGTTATGTTACAACTCAGTGCTTGTTAGGAATGTTATGAGTCACATGAGGAGGTGACCCTATGTCCATCTACTGAGCACTCACTTCACTCCGCGCTATCATTAAGATCCGACTTGGGACCACGATAGTGTGGTAGACAGTGGTCTAGTGTGGTAGACACGATAGTGTGGTAAACTATATACAGTGATATTGTTTTATGGCCATCATGCCATGACTCCAAAAGTCCCCTGTGTCATCAGTTTGTCGGGATGCGATCAATAATATTATTCACGAACTACGGAACAAGCCATAGGTTGACTCATAGGGAATGTACCTTGATGTAGGTGTGTCGTTATAATATTTAGGGCCTGTTTCAGAACGTATAAATGTGTGTATCTATAAAAAAAAAGGTACCGTAAAACATATAGGTAGATATGGTTATCACAATAACCTTTCCAACAGAATAAAACATCGCATTACATAATAAATAATTTATTTTAAAAATACATATTAATATATACCAAATAATAAAAAAAATATTTCCGTACTCGAACAATTTCACAAAAATTATAAATTAATAACTGACCTATACAAAAAGTGTTATCAAAACAAAAAATAATAACATAAATAATAAAAAGAGAGCCAAAAATAAAATGTTAAGTAACAATCAACACTCATAAGTACACAATAATACACATAATAACACCATTTCATCATACATCTTTTACATTACGAAGAACTTAGAAATAACAAGTTAAGATTATGTAAAATTGAGCAAGATTTTTCAATAAATATATCCTAAAATATTATGGAGTACTTACAATAGTTGTACTTAAACAGAGAATAAAAATTACACAGGACAATACTGGGACAATGTTAAAACACTTACTGAACCTATTTGGATGGACTGATACAGTACTTCAATATAATACAGTATTAATACAGGGATTTCGTAAAACTACATTAAATTGCTATGTAAAATAAAGCTTTATCACAGTAATGGTATCTTAAATTAATATTAATATTAACAATAATTTACGTTAACATTTATTATTGTCAATTAATAACCTAATAAATAAATGCCCACATTTTCAACTTGTGTCCAAGTTACATTTCATTATCTTTTTTTTTTCTTAAAATAAAAAATAGAAATGGAATGATAGAAACGGAACAAACATTTCAGAAAATGTATAACTAATGTTAAATAATAAATAACGATAATGAACGTTATTAGGTGAGATGATAAAAATATTAGAACTACAAGAATAAATAATTAGGTACACAGAATAAAAAGAAAATAATTTAAAATATGAGGATGAAAATGACTAGATGTTTAAACTTACCTACGTTTAATTATTAGCTAAATATTAATCACCATAAATAATAATTTTTAGTCACAAAGGTAAATAATTAACTATTCGAGGTAATAAAACTTTTTAAGTCACATTTCTCATATTGTCCAGTCGAATAAGTAGAAAGAAATTAAAAGAAGGTGTAATTCTTATCATCTCTTGTCTTCTCCCATCATCTCTAGATACCTAAAACAAAGAAATATTCAATTAAATAAATGGAAAAGATTTATAATGATATCGATGGGTTAAAATTTTCGATATCAAGCAAATTATGATAAATAACTTAGGACTCGACGCTTCCAAACAATAACCCAGTAATCGATAAATCAAAATTTTACAGGAGAAAAGATTTACTGATTTTATCAAATACCTTTTCAACGAGTGGGACTATTGAAGTCATTGATGTGTTAAATGAAAGCTATTTTTTTGCGGAATATACCTGTGCCATTAAAATGACATTCCTTTTATTAAATACCTAGTAATTTAGGAAAATAAATAATACCTAAAATTTTATACATAAAATATTATGGTAATAGTACTTACGGGATTATTGCAGTAAATTTATCAAATGAAATATTTCATAACATTATATTATGGGCTTCTACGGGGTTTTTTTTATCGTGGGGCTGATACATAACGTGTTTTTACGGAGTTATTGTGGTAATTTAAAATATTATTTAAATTACCACAATAACTTTGGCTCATTAATGTACGTAATATAAAATATTACGTACATTAATGAACCAATACCAATCTTCAATAACATTGTTAGTGTGTATTACGGAATACGTATTTTACAATGAATTCAACAAAAACCCCGTACACACGTTTACCTAAATCTTCATGAAAATTATTTACGGCAATAACCCGGTAATCGCAACTTACCAAAATAAAATATAAATTGTTTTTTCGTACAGATGTATAACATGTTTTTTGCCGAGATATTATTGTGTATTAATTCCCAACAATAAACATGTGCGTCATGATATCTTTGTAACTATTATTAGGAAAAATCTGAGAAAAATTGTCAAGGTGTATTCAAGTCCATACGCGCCGAAATTGACATAACAGCATAAACCCGATAATAGCACATTACCGAGTTCTTGGTTGGGAGCGTCGCAGGTATAAATTTTTAATGATAGAATAGTTTTTGACAAAAGATAGTTATAAGTTATACGGTCAAGTTATTTATTAACACTCCTTTTTCACTATTTGTGTTACGAGTCCCATGTAATAGGGGATGAGCCTATTGCCAAATACCGGGCACAATTGCAGACTCCGTGCTACCACTGGGACTATTTTTAAAAACCTAGTAATACTTTGCACGACCCGGGAATCAAAGCTGAGACCCCTTACCGGGCAGTCGCTCTTCCGAATACTCGGCCAACGAGATACACGAACGAAATACAGATAACCAGCATTTGTATTGAACTCAGAACTGCAGCGTGACTCATACTTTCATATAATATTTGTAACAAGCGTGAACTTCTTATGTAGTCAAAATAAATGAATGTTTACATAATTAAGTTCGCAAAATAAACACACGAGATAAAAACTCTTTATCACAAAAAACTAATGACACAATGAATACATGACTAATGCTAGAACAGTTTTAAGTTTTCCTTAAACTACTTAATAGGTTTTAATAATCAAAAAGTAAAGTTCAAAAACTATTCCACCTGGTTCTACTAAAATATATGAAGCAAATAAAACTCGAAAACTTACTCTTCTTCGGAGACACACTGGTTCATGAGCCACCTCTGTCCAGCAGAGCATTCGCCGTTGTTCATAATATCTCTTTTCATTCTTTTCACAACAACTAATGTTGACCCATCACCAACATTTAATTTCACATGACCATTTTCACTAGGCGTCGAGACTGATTGACTGAGGACTGAGGTCTCGTCTGCACCGACAAGACTCTTAGCCTCATCTCCAATAGGAAATGAGAACACGATGTGAAGAAACACACACAAGGAAAATAAAGTGAATAATTTAACCGCCATATTGCTGTCTATCCGCAGCGCTCACAAGTTCTGACTGAGAATGAATGCGTTATCGCCGCAGCGCTTACTGCTTTTAAGGGGACTTCGAAGGCGCGTCAGTAGCCACTATACGTCATGAATATTATATTTTACGTCATTACATTTTACAAAATGTTAAGTAAATGGCAACAATATAATATAATGGCAAATCCCATCAATACTTTTAATTATATTCATAATTTTTGTCTCTTACGAAAACAATTGCAAATTATATTCAAGTTTATAGTTTATAATTTATTGAGGTCTATGAACAAGGTTTAAAAGGGTTTGGAACTCGTTTTAAAGAATCTAAATATAAACTTCGATTACCTCAAAATTTTGATTTATGTGGATTAACCTTCTCTTCAAGATATTTTACCATACATACATAACATCACGCCTTTTATCTCCAAAGGGGTAGGTGGATGTGCAAATTGTGTGGACTTAATGCCACTGTACAATGTAACACACATTTTCACTACTAATGTTATGAGTCCCATATGTAATAGGGGGTGAGTCTATTGCCATATACCGGACACGATTCCAGGATCCGTGTTCTTGCTGAGAATTAAAAAAAACACTGTAATGCCCGAGACACCTTGCCCGGCAGTCGTACTTGCGACTACACGGCCAACGAGACAGTCAAGTTAATTAGCAGAAATTTTACCCCCAGCTGAAATTAATGCATCACAAGTTGAAGGTACAATTACATGGGTAAATTAATATTGCATACTGCCATATCGAATTTAATGGTTAACAGGATAAGTCAAATAATGCGTTTGTAAATTCCGCTTAAATTTTTGTGGCTCTTTCCTCAACCCATCGTGTGTCTGAACGTGGATACACGCGAGAGACAATGTGTTTTCTATTGTGGCTCATATCAGTGCATTCAAGCGGTTAAAAGATTACAACAGACTCAACTTGCACGGTTCACCCATATTATTATTTAATTGTCTGGACCTCTGAGTTATTTTTCGTATTTTTTTTATAGTAGTCCGATAAGAAATGTCAGTACCGGTACAGTATGTCAAGTTTAATTTAAAAATCGATGTGTTACTTTGCAAAAATAAAAAAAATCTAAGGATAGATACATAATCTTCAAAGAAACTTTAACTCAGTAGTAATTGCTGCATAATTGTGTGATCTATCACGCAATTACGAATATTCAGATCATTGTCAATAGATTACAAAAAACCTGGGCGCAATACCTTTGAAGACAATTCATGTTATACATATACGTTAAATTATTCAATTCATAGTTTTTTATACAACATCAATTATTTCTTACGGTACAAAATATGACCGACGCTTCCAAACAATAACCCAGTAATCGATAAATCAAAATTTTACAGGAGAAAAGATTTACTGATTTTATCAAATACCTTTTCAACGAGTGGGACTATTGAAGTCATTGATGTGTTAAATGAAAGCTATTTTTTTGCGGAATATACCTGTGCCATTAAAATGACATTCCTTTTATTAAATACCTAGTAATTTAGGAAAATAAATAATACCTAAAATTTTATACATAAAATATTATGGTAATAGTACTTACGGGATTATTGCAGTAAATTTATCAAATGAAATATTTCATAACATTATATTATGGACTTCTACGGGGTTTTTTTTTATCGTGGGGCTGATACATAACGTGTTTTTACGGAGTTATTGTGGTAATTTAAAATATTATTTAAATTACCACAATAACTTTGGCTCATTAATGTACGTAATATAAAATATTACGTACATTAATGAGCCAATACCAATCTTCAATAACATTGTTAGTGTGTATTACGGAATACGTATTTTACAATGAATTCAACAAAAACCCCGTACACACGTTTACCTAAATCTTCATGAAAATTATTTACGGCAATAACCCGGTAATCGCAACTTACCAAAATAAAATATAAATTGTTTTTTCGTACAGATGTATAACATGTTTTTTGCCGAGATATTATTGTGTATTAATTCCCAACAATAAACATGTGCGTCATGATATCTTTGTAACTATTATTAGGAAAAATCTGAGAAAAATTGTCAAGGTGTATTCAAGTCCATACGCGCCGAAATTGACATAACAGCATAAACCCGATAATAGCACATTACCGAGTTCTTGGTTGGGAGCGTCGATGTATAACCTATGTTCAAAGTATAATGAAATTAGCATTCAATATAAAATGTTGCGTCTGTCTTTCATAAAAAGCAATGCAATATTATGAAACATTTTCTAGAGTCTTGAGTATTTTTAACCAAGCTCACGAAATTGTCGTATATTTTCAATAAAAATTACTTAATGTAAACCGTATGATTTAATAATCATTTTACATTAGTATACTCTTGCCTTGTGTATCGCTGTGTGAGTGAGGTTTTGAGGGAGCCTATCTTCCCTCTCCACGCATCCACAGACGTTAAATCCAGGACACTTAAAAGGCCGGTAACATACTTTTAACTCCTCAAGTATTGCATCAGGTGATGTGGGGTTGTGGTGGCCCGGAGGTTTGATGCGCCCGCTTTTTATAAGAGTCCGGTTTGAAACCTTCCAACAGTAAGTACCAATGTGTAATTATCCGAGTTGTATGTGCTTTCTAAGACTACTTATTTATAAACCTCTGACAAACGGTGAAGGAAAACATTGTGAAGAAACCTGGGCTTATAATTTCTAATATTATACGTTTGAAATCGCCAGCCCTCATTGAGTAAGCGTCGTAGTTAATGCCCAAAGCTTCCCAGTGTGTGTAGAGGTATTTGGTCAGCAGTGGCCAGTTATAGGATTAGCACTCCTTCACATAAAACATGGACTGCGTAGTGAATAGCAAGTTCCATATGGTATAATATGTTTATTTCTGCCTACCCTTGGTAATTAAAAGGCGTGAAGTTATGTTGTACGTATGTCGCAAGTGTACGTTAATGCGTGTACGCAATGTCTTTAAATAAAACCGACCGAGCAAGTTTGAATCTAGCTACCTTCAATTCCTATTTCGGGTTTTTCCCGAAGTATCTATTTCTAATTGGATCTAATAGTTTTTTATAAACTTGTTAGCTAAATGGAGGTCAGTTTAATGAACATTTTAATGTATAATTATGTCAGTCCATTTTATGGGATATGGGATGATAAGACCCACCATATTTTATGTAGATAAAACTTATTTTTTGTGTCAAAATCTACAATAGATATAACCATGAAAACATCAAAATACTGAATTTTACGTCTCAGAGATACTGTCTTGGATTTACGAAAAGAATAAAATAAAATTTGATTGAATTTTAGGTTGATGAAAATCAAAATATAGATAAATGTCAATATAATCTAATATAAGGTAATCTTAGCTTCCTCAAGAAATTCTATTTGTTTAAATAAATTTTCTCAAAATACACTTCGACCGAGACTTTATGTGGGTCGTCAAGGCCACTGTGTTTTTGATTAAATAAAGCAATGCGTGATTCAAAATTTACTAGCATATTATACAGACGGGGTTTCCCAAAGTATCAGTGTTAAGTTGTAGGCCAACAACAATGCAATTATATAACATCACGCCTTTTATCCCTGAGGGGTAAGCAGAGGTGCACATTACGGCACTTGATGCTACTGTATGTACAATGTAACACCCACTTCTCACACCCATGTAATAAGAGGTCAACCTATTGCCATATACCAGGCACAATTCCAGATTCCTCGCTACTACTAAGTTTAGTATCCCGAATGAGGCAATGTTCCCTGATTTTAGAAGAAAAAAATTCAATTTGTAACAAAACATTTATTCAAATAATACATGTCGTATAAAAATATTTTTTCGAAAAATAATACTCATATAATTTCACAAACAATTGTAACAATAAATAATAATTATATTATACAAATGATGAAAATATAACCATTTGTTAAATATTCAATGAATATATTTACACGCAATATTCATAAAACATTGACGTTCATTTGATGTATGTGCAATGTTTCACAATAATTGCGCTTTTTCGTTATTGACGTAAAGGTGTATTGTGGTTAAAATTTCATCAGACTAATTTTTCATACATATAAGGACCTTAACAATAGGTTCGTAAAGATTACAAAAAATTGAGCAATACACTAGAAATACTTTCAAATACATAAATTCATACATATGCAAATATACAGTACAAAAATTATTTAAATAATTCCTATTTATACAAAATCGCCCGGTTTCCCTACTCAGAATGGTTTTAAATAATGATCTATCCCTGATCCAAATTATATCCTGATTCGTTCAGACAAACACATACAAACACACAGACTCACAAACATTTGCATTTATAATATTAGTAAGATTGCACCTATTTGGATGGATTAACTCGTCGAGTACCGGTTTTATAGACACAATTAAAGAACAATAAGTCGCGGTCACCGGTGACCGCTTGGTGTTTGACAGATTAATATACCTTAATATAACAACTTGACACAACTGATATATTATTATTATGTTAAACTATTATACAATACGTATAAATAAAATTACAACTAAATAAAGCTTTATCACAGTAATATAATCTGAAATTAATACTAACATTAAAAATAATTTACGTTAATATTTATTATTATATAAATTAATTAATAAATAAATGCTCACATTTTCAACGTTTGTTACAAGTCTCATTTCATAATCTTCTTTTTTTTTAAATAAAAAAAAATAGAAATGGAATCAACATTTTGAATAATGAATGTTAAATAATAAATAACGATGAATGATAATGTCAGATAACAATAATTATGCTAGTATAACTAGGCGAATGAAGAATAAATTAAAATGAAAAACATAATTACAAAATGGTAGATACGATAATGACTAGATTTTTAACCTAACATACTAGTTAAATTATCATAAATGACTTCTTAGTCACATAGGGATAAGTAGACTTTTGAGGTAAAACTGTTTACACTTGTTTTTCCGGAGTGTCCAGTCGAATGAGGAAAAAAAAGTTAAGAGACGAAGCTCCTTATCATCTCTTGTCTTCCCCCATCATCTCCTGATACCTATAACAAAAAAATATTCAAATAAATAAAAAAAGTTTTACACATTATGTTCTGGGTTGAACTTTCATATTAATATTATGGTCAAATATTTAGATCAGTGTATCGAGATTACATCACATGAATGGGACTTCTTATAAGACATCTAACTACCAAATATTGAAGACGTCAAAGCCATAATTCTACAATTATTCGTTTGACTTCTTACGCAATAGAATGAGAAATACATCTCCTTTTTAGGTATAGGAAAAGCTAAAAAGGTTCCAAACTAAATTTTCTTACGCTCAAGGTTTTCTCATTTCACCCTTAGGTGACAAATACTTATATTTGTAAAGAACTAAGTATGACAGAATAAATGCGTGACTCACACCATTATTCACATTATACTTGCAGTTAGTAAGAACTCCAACCATGCAGTCAAAATAAATAAATTGCAGAGTGCAAAAACCCGTCATTATAAAAAAAAAAACAGAACAAGCCAAAATTGTACACGTACAGATGCCAACAATCTACGTTTTCCTTAAACTGATTAAAGCTTTGGTTGAATTTCAACCTAATAGCAAAACAAAAAAGTTTAAAAACTAATACAATCAAAATGAAAGGAAACTCACTTTTCTTCCGTAATACACTCATTCAAGAACCACCTCTGTCCTGAAGGACATTTGTCATCTCCAATAACATTTCTCCTCGTCCGCTGGACGACACTAGATTGACTGTTATCAACAACACTTAATTCCACATTATCATTATCACTGGGCGCCGAAACTGATTGACCGAGAACCGAGTTCCCGTCTACACTGACATGACTCTTAATCTCATCTTCAATAGGAAATGAGAACACAATGTGAAGAAACACGCACATGATAAATACAGTAAATAATTTAACCGCCATATTGCTGTCTGTTCGCAGCGCTCACAAGTCCTGACTGAGAACGAATGTGCTCTCGCCGCTGCGCATACGGTTTTTAAAGGGACCTCAACGGGCGTCAGTTGCACGGCCCCTATACGTCATTAACCACATAGCACACTACCATATGTATGCCGTCATTACATTTTACACAACGTAAAGGAATCAACAGTAATTCCCATCTATTTAAATTATCATTATTTCACCATTAAAAAATAAATTAGAATAATTTAATTTAAGGCAGTTGACTGCCTCATTGGCCGAGTGGTCGCAAGTGCGACTGCCGGGCAAGGGGTCTCGGGTTCGATTCCCGGGTCGGGCAAAGTATTACTGGGTTTTTAAAAATCTCAGTAGTAGCACGGAGTCTGGAAAAATGTGCCCGGTATATAGGGCAATAGGCTCACCCCCTATTACATGGGACTCATGACATAAATAGTGAAAAGTGGGTGTTACATTGTACAGTGGCATTAAGTGCCGAAATGTGCACCTCTGCCTACCCCTTCGGGGATAAAAAGGCGTGATGTTATGTTTAATTTAAGATAATTTTGATTAGAATAATTTAAATTTTCACAATATTTGCATTCATAAAGTCATACGTTTTCATGTCATTGTTTTGTTTGCGTAATAATGAATTAATTGTTAAATAAGTATTACGCGTCCTTATCTATGAGTGTAAACATAAATATTACATCAGTGATAACTTGATAATGGCAAGACTAATGCACTTGATTAACGGATTCAACTTGAAATTGATAAGATAGTGTGTTAAACGTATCGATGTTCGCTAAGATTAAGATAGAATGTTGAATTAAACTCTGTCTTTTTTAAAACCTTCGCTAGGATTCTTTGTCGTGGGTGCATTTACACACACAAACGCCCACAGATCCCACTCAGACCCGGATCAACTACATATTTGTGAATCACTATAAAAATGTTCGATGAATGTTCCTACCTCTACATAGCCAGGTATAAAAAAATACAGAACAAAGTCAGGATCGAGCCAACTTGACAGGAGTGATACTAATGCCTTGCAGAAAACCGTGTGGGTCTTCAAGGCCCATCCATCATAGACTGCGTCATCGCTTACCACCAGGCGAGATAGTGGTCTAACGTCGTCCCATCAAATATTTAAAAAAATCGTGAAACAACCGTACATTTCGCCGTGTGAGTGAAGTAACCGAATAACCCCACCGTCTAAAAAGGCCGGTAACGTTCTTGTAACTCATTCGATGTTACGGATATTCATAGACAGCGCTGATTATTTACAATCAAATGATTTGTCATATCGAATGCCCCCCATCCCATAAACCACATAAAGTTGTCCCGTCTAACAAGTGAACGTCATTTAGGATTTCGGGACTCTGTTATCACATGAGCTCATAGATATGAGATACATTTTAAAATAAAAAACGGCACTACCAACCGTTCACCGTACGCGTAGAAATTGAGCGCGTTCCAGTTCAGTCTGTGGTTCCCAGTACTGCCAACTGAATCAACACGAGCGTTCCAGGTGTGAATTTTGACTAATTATACCATTTTAGGCAGCGTTCCAGGAACGTTGTAAAAAAATTAATAGAATTTGCAACATTAACACTTACAACTTTTATTAAGTAAATTTATTGATAACAATGGATTTAAATAATATAACAATGAGGAACCGACGCTTTAGAAAATGTCTTTCGAATACCTCTCTTGAATCACTTGATTCATCATCATCTAATTTGAGCATTAAAAGTATGATGGACTTATCTACCCACATCAAGTCTGATGAAATAACGCAATTACAAAATTCAATATATAAATTGCGAGAAGAATTAGTAAGTGCTCACACTGAGATAGAACAGCTAACATTGGAAAACTCTGAAATGAAAATACAGTTGCAAAATGAAATTAAAAAATCTGAGCAACTAAGAAAAATGTGTACTACATTTAGTCATAAGAAGACTGTATCATCGTCAACCTCATTAAAGCTGAATAGGAGTCAGGCTATAAAACAGAAAATCTCCTCTAGAAAACTTAATCTTGACTTAGATTTTCATACACCCAAGCCTTCAAGAAACAACACCTCTATAGTATTTCCTGGAAGTAATGATGATCCGAAAATTACCATTAGTCAACCTAATCTCGACATGCAAAACGTCGCGAAGATTTCTCTGAACCACGATTCAAGCAAGAATACTAGCCCTAAGTCTGTATTTAGTCAACCCGATAGTAGAAAATGTCCTAAAGAAACTGGTGAAATATTCATCTTCTCAGATAATCAGGGACAAGGTATTGTACAAACATTACTAAAAAACAAGCATAAATTACTTGCTGATGATTATAAAGTACAGTCTATCACAAAACCATACGCCACAACGAAACATGTATTGGCAGGTTGTAATGATTATTGTAACAGACTTTCAAAAAAAGACCACGTAGTTATAATGACTGGGAGCAATGACTCCAACCCAATTGAAATTTTGTCTGAAATGTCTATAGCGTTACATTATTTTAATAATTGCAATGTGTATGTAGTTAATGTTTTCCATAATAATTATCTAAATGAACGTAAACTAAATGATCAGCTAAAGTTAATAACTCGAAATTATAAAAACTGTACATTTATAGAGACAAAACCACATAATGTTATACAGCAAATAATTTATCATATCAATGTAAGAGTATATAATAAAATGTTCCTGTCTTATAATGATGTCACACTTCAAAACTGTATTGACCCTAAGAAAACATTAAACAATAATCCTTATGGTAAAAAAACTGTGTCTAAGGTAGAAATAAAAAAAGGTACAATTCCTTACTACTTTCCTATCATTATAAAAAAATTGTCACAAGTTGAACCGATAGATAATGTTTCTGGTACAAAAACCCGGCCCAAAGTAAATAATTTTTTTCGTGAATAAGTCTTCGTATTCTATATTCCACCAAAATATTGCGGGTGCCCTGAATAAGATGCAGGACCTGGACGTGGCCCTGCTGGAGCTGCTCGAGCAAAAAAAAAATGTTGTAGCTGTATGTTTAAGTGAACATTTCATCAAAAAGCATGAGGAAATGTACCTCAACATAAACGGCTTCTACCTAGCTGATATTTTCTCTCGTGAAAACCAACGTCGCGGAGGTACTTGTATTCTTTGTAAAAATGATTATGAAAGTACTAGACTAGATACTATAAGAGAATTTGCAACTGAAAAACACTTTGAAATGTGTGGTATAATGATAAATAAACTTAAACTTATAATAATATGTATATACAGAACCCCAAACTCCGATGTTAACATATTTTTTGATAGTCTTGAAAAGACTCTTTCGAGACTTCACAACAAAAAACAGAATATAATTATCTGTGGAGATTTTAATATAGATTTGTTATTATCAGATAAAAATAGTACCACTTTTAAGGATCTGATGCTTAATTATGGTGTACAGCATTACATAAATGAACCCACTAGGCATAATAAATGTATAGATAATATTATTGGTAATATTGACGACTGTCTTGGCGAAACTCATAATTTTTATCTATCAGATCATAATACAGCCCAAACAGTCACAATTATTGAGCAAACTATTGATGTTAAAGGGTACTATTATGTGATTAGGGATGATCTCAGTAAGGAAAATGTAAATAAGTTTATAGATTGTATTAGTTGCTTAAGTTTTGGTGAAGTTTATGACACGTCAGATACAAATGTAGCATTTGGAAAGTTTCATGACCTGTTGATATTATTTTATAAATTATGTTTTCCGAGTATAAGAGTAAAAAAAAGATACAATTTTAATAAACCAAAATGGATAACAAGAGGAATTAAAACTAGTAGCAAAAATAAGCGGTCATTGCGATTTATCTACTACCTAAATAAAAATAACGAAAATAAAAATAGGTTTAAGACCTATTCTAAAATATTAAAAAAGTGTATGTATAATCTTCAAGCACTATGTAATCAAAGACATATAGCTCAGTCTCATAATAAAGTAAAAGCTACATGGAACGTTGTAAAGCGCAACACGGGTAAAATAAAAGGTAGAGATAGTCTGGATGTTCTTAAATATAGAAACACTATTATTGCGTCTGGCTCAGATATTGCTGATACGTTTAATACATTTTTCGTTGACGTTGCTAATAATGAAGGTTCCAATAATATTGACAATAGTAAAATAAAAATTTCCAATGTAACCTCACATGATAAAAGTATTTTTGTGGAACCTAGTGACGATGTTGAGGTCTGTCAGATAATAAGGAACTTAAAAAACACAAAATCCTGCGGGTTTGATGGTATTTCAACAGATTTAATCAAATGTATATCCCAGTATATATCACCACCACTAGCTCATATCATCAACCTATCTCTTGAACAAGGATGTTTCCCTGATAGGTTAAAAATGTCGTTAATAAAACCGTTACACAAAAAAGGTTCGAAATCTGATGTAAATAACTATAGACCTATAGCATTAACTCTAATCTTGTCGAAGGTATTCGAGAGAATTATGTATAAAAGGGTGCTTAAATATTTAAATAAGTTTAATATTCTAGCAAAGGAGCAGTATGGTTTTCAACAAAATAAATCAACAACGTTAGCTATATATACACTTGTAAGAGCAGTAATGAATAGTATTAACTCTAACACGTCTTCTTGTGCACTACTTCTGGACCTTAGTAAGGCGTTTGATCTAGTAAATCATCCAATATTGATTGAGAAAATGGAAAGATATGGTATCAGAGGTTCAGCTCAAAAATGGTTCGAATCATATTTAAGTAATAGGAAACAGATAACCAGAATTACAAAATTTAATGAGATAAGTAACACATTAGAAATATTTGATTCTAAACCACTCATAAATCGATGCGGTGTACCGCAGGGGAGTATTTTGGGACCATTATTATTCTTAATTTATGTAAATGATTTACCACAAGCAATTAAACATCAGTGTGTTCTATTTGCGGATGACACCACAGTAATCATAGAAACCAAAAATCCACAAAACTATGATACCATTATAAATGAGTCAATTAAAGAT